GTTGTATTTCTTTACATAACAATTATTATTTTGATATTAATTAGTATTACTTAAACATGTAGAGAACATATATAAATAACCATAACCATGCTTAAATTAAGTGGAGTTAATTTGTATAAGAAATATTAGTAAGTGTTTAATTTTATTAAAAAAAAATATTTCGGAACAGAAACATAGAAAAAAGTTTATAATATGTATTAAAAGAAATAAATAATAAACATAAACATTTTAATAAAAGGCGTATATTTTTTAAAGAATATTTTTTCAAGGCTCATATAAGGCGTGGATTTTTTAAAGAATATTTTTTCAAGGCTCATATAAGGCGTGGATTTTTTAAAGAATATTTTTTCAAGGCTCATATAAGGCGTGGATTTTTTAAAGAATATTTTTTCAAGGCTCATATAAGGCGTGGATTTTTTAAAGAATATTTTTTCAAGGCTCATATAAGGCGTGGATTTTTTAAAGAATATTTTTTCAAGGCTCATATAAGGCGTGGATTTTTTAAAGAATATTTTTTCAAGGCTCATATAAGGCGTGGATTTTTTAAAGAATATTTTTTCAAGGCTCATATAAGGCGTGGATTTTTTAAAGAATATTTTGTAAAGAATATTTTTTCAAGGCTCATATAAGGCGTGGATTTTTTAAAGAATATTTTTTAAAGAATATTTTTTCAAGGCTCATATAAGGCGTGGATTTTTTAAAGAATATTTTTTAAAGAATATTTTTTCAAGGCTCATATAAGGCGTGGATTTTTTAAAGAATATTTTTTAAAGAATATTTTTTCAAGGCGTGGATTTTTTAAAGAATATTTTTTCAAGGCTCATATAAGGCGTGGATTTTTTAAAGAATATTTTATCAAGGCCTATATAAGGCGTGGATTTTTTTTAAAGAATATTTTATCAAGGCCTATATAAGGCGTGGATTTTTTTTAAAGAATATTTTATCAAGGCCTATATAAGGCGTGGATTTTTTTAAAGAATATTTTAAGAGGACTGTCATAGGCGTGGATTTTTTTAAAGAATATTTTATCAAGGCCTATATAAGGCGTGGATTTTTTGTAAAGAATATTTTATCAAGGCCTATATAAGGCGTGGATTTTTTTTAAAGAATATTTTATCAAGGCCTATATAAGGGACTAGAATATGCGTAGATCATTTAATTATTGGACTTCGATAAGGTGTGGATTTTTAAATAATTTTTTCCTGGACTTCATGCAGGCCTGGATTTTTAAATAGTTTTTTCATGGACTTTAAAGAGGCCTGGATTTTTAAATCGGGATTTTTATGAACTTTGATTAGGCTAGATTTTTTAAATAAGTTTTCTTCATGGAGTTCGATTATCAGTGCATTTCTTATGGGGGATCACTACGGTTGCAATTTATGAAAATACCTAAAATGATGCGGGACCTTAATAGATGAAAAGAAGTGAAAAAAGCATTAACTTTGGCCGGGACGAACCTTGGATTCCTTCCAGCACGGGTATACTGACAGGTATTTTAAATGAAAATATAGGGAATATACCAAAAATTGACACCTATACCGACATTTTTACAAACAGATTTATGTAAACCAAATAAAAATTTCAAGAATTTTTTAGGAGAGATTTTTCCTAAAAGCACAAAACTTGGACTGGTATTGGCGACGCATGGTAGGGTGAAACATTCACAAAATACTGCAATTTAGAGGGCACAGTTATATGAGGCCATCATTATATCAAGTGCTATGCCTAATTGAGGACTGATATATCTGAATTTCGAAACTTAAATTTTTGCATCACAATACCTTTACACTAATTATGAAAAATACCGGTAGGTATCATTATATGGGGCGGATATAGTTCATTCTCGAACCTTACGTTCTAGTTTTTTATCTCGATATTCTCCGCAGGTGGAATGATTACAACAGTGTCAAACCCAAAACGCGGAACAAATCAGATAACTATTTTAATATAAAACCACTAAGGAAAGCAGTAATGTTGGACTGGGCCGACTATATGATACCCTTTACGACTTTGGGTATATTCTACATATGTATCCTAACAGACGTCGCCTTTTCGAAAGAATGCTAATTTCAGTACGTTGTGTCAATCGACCTAGCTATGGGTCTTTAGTGCACAAATTACATTAAATCGGTCGAAAATATATATGGGAGCTGTAACTTCAACTGAACCGATTTTCACGAAACTTAGGACACATAATACTCGACCTAATTCAGAACCCTATATTAAATTTCGCGCAAATCGAAAGTTATATAGCAACTTTGGTGCACCATTTACATAAAATCGGAAGAAACTATATACGGGAGCTATATCTAAATCGGAACCGATTTTCACGAAACTTAACACACATCATTCTAGACCAAATTCAGTACGCTGTGCCAAATTTCGTGCAAATCGAAAGATATATAGAAACTTTGATGCACCATTTACATAAAATTAGATACGGGAGCTATATCTAAATCGGAACCGATTTTCACGAAACTTAACACACATCATTCTAGACCACATTCAGTACGCTGTGCCAAATTTCGTGCTAATCAAAACATATATAGGGACTTTGGTGCACCATTTACCCTAAATCGGACGAAAATATATATGGGACCTATATCTACTGATTTCCCCCAATTTCAATAGGGTTCGTACTTTGGCCAAACAAATGAGTTTTACCAATTTTCATCCAAATCGGATTGTAACTGCTACCTGTACTTTGTTTGTAATAACAACAACACCAACGGACGGACGGACGGACATGTTTAAATCGACTCAGAAAGTGATTCTATGCTTATTCTCAAAAGGAACCATATGTCTATCTCGCTTCATTTTGTTCTGTTGCAAACATATGCACAAACACTTAATACCCTTTACCACAGTGTGGTGAAGGGTATATAAGGGGTTATATTGGGGACAACCCCTAAAAGGGGGCGAATATTAATAATTTTTGGGAGTTGTTTTTGCACTTGAAATTGAAAAACGGTCAAAACGACCGCCATCGGCAATCTAGTGTTAATGGTCCTTCAAAAATTCGACGTCTGTTAGGATTCATCTGTTGAATATGCCAAAGTGGTGAAGGGTATCATTTAGTCAGCCCCGTCCGACTTTACTACTTTCCTTACTGGTTAGTGGAGACATTTGGTACCCAATAAGAACTCAGTTTAACAAATTTCGGTGAAGTCGGTTGAAAAATGCGTTCAAGAACCCCAAAATAACGAAAATTGGAGCGTACCCTTATATTAAGAAGAAATTTGATACCCAATAAGAACCCAATGTACCAAATTTCAGTGTATTCGGTTGAAAAACGCACTCAAGAACTTCAAAATACCGAAAATTGGGTGTACCCTCATATGGGAGCTAAACGTGGACCGATGTATCCCATCTTCGATCTTGAGTGCTGTTCCAAAACGTGTCTCAATGTTGCTTATTTTTGGGTAGGAAAATATGATATGCAATCAGAAGTCAACATATCGAATTTGGCCCAATTTTGTGGCCAAACAATGGCGGTACCCTTGCATGGGATCTACCACGAACCTTGAGCCAATATTTATAATTTTTGATGGGGAAATGTTATACCCCTTGAGAATTTAAAATATAAATTTAAATACAATTTTGTTGTAAAGTGTGACCAAAATCCTCAAAATATCGAATATTGGTACGGTTATAAGGGGCTGACAAAAACGTGAGTCGATTTTTGATAAATCGGATATGATAAATGGATAGAAGCTTATTTGGATAAAGAATGTAGCTACTTAATGGGAACTCAGACAAATATGTCGTTGGGTTTCGAACGAAATGATAAGTTTGTCATCCATATTCCAGCGTAAAAAACGAATTATACAAAAATACGTTATGCTACTGTTTTAGTCCGGCGAATTTTCAACTGACCATTGATAATATAGATTTTTTGAATATTATCACACCTTATTACATAGATTTTTATTGGGTTTTGTCCATAAATTTTAATTTCTTTTGACTACAATTAATTATTAGCAGTGAATATGTGTAACGCCTAAAATTATGCTTTAATTTTTGAAATATTGTCATTATAGCCTCTTTAGTGAGAATATATTTTTGTTTCATTAATAAATCATCATTTCGTATATATAACATAAATAATCAGTTGTTTACATATAAAATAATAGATTTTTAGATATTGTTGTATGTGTGTGTAAAGTAAAATAGGTATATAGTGGAGTGAGTGTGTGTGTAGGTGGGAGGTATTTGTAAAACGAGTAGTATGTGAATAGCAACGTGATATAAAAAGTGAAATATTTAAATTAAAACAAGAAGACATGTCACAATACATATATGTAGAGTGAAAGGACAACAGTGAGAAAGACTTATGACAGTGGATGAAGAGAGTGAAGTGAAAAGTGACCAAAATACCAGACAATATCCAGGACGAACAACCAACAAGACTGAATGCCATGGTGCTAAGGACAGACGATAGAAAAATATTCCACAGACACCATAGGGAAAATTATGAAATAAACACAATCTCGGTTAGGGGTTATAATGAGCAGAGAATATTCATATAAAATTTGGACCCAATCGAATCCTAAAAAATATAATTTGAATTTAAATTGTTTGTGTTTATTCCAATATCCCTTGACACAGAAGAAGGAATGCCATTAAAGCCGTGATGTTTTTTTTTTCAAAAAAGGGAACAAAATTTTATTGTGGTAGTGATGGTGTTCACATTTTTTTTTCAGAATGATGTTGTTGTGTTTATTCTTGTTGTTGTTGTTGATTACCTTCAAAATGTAACATCCTATTTTGATAGTTAAACAAATTGTTTTGTTTATAACATGGCTCGTACGTGGTCGCATAACGACACTGGTTGGCTAAATTATCCTCAAGATCATGACAAAATCTATTAGCAATAACATTGCCGCCACCACCACTGCCACCATCGATAGATTCTCCACCTTTTGTGGGTTTCGTGTCACTGGTAACAAGAACAACAACATTATCATCATCAATTGCAGGAGTAGCTGCAGTTGGCGTTGTCACAATTGCTGGTGCTGCAGCAGGAGTATCAGAACGATGATCAAAGTGATCATCAGGTCGGCTACCATTAACGGCAGCAGCAACCGCATTAGCAGTTATTCCTCCACTGCCTTCGCCACTCGAATTTTCAGTGTCCTGACCAATATGTGTATGAAAATTTAAGGAGGATTTTAGGTTATTGCCATAGATGCCAGAAGAACCAGAAGCTGGCATTAAAGAAGAAGAAGAAGAAGTGGTAGTCTTTGTTTTTGATGGTGTAGTTGTTATGGTGTTGGAGCTGCTGTTGCTGCTGCCAATGATGGCGGCGGTGGTGGTGGCAATCGAATTTGTGTTATTAGTTATTGATGTTGTATCGAAAGGAGGTGCTACAGCAGCAACAACAACAACATCGTTATTATTATTTTTATTAGTATCACCATCTACTCCATCGTCATGGCCAGAAGAATGTTCATTGTGACCATCATCAAAGACATATTGATCATGGCTTGAACACGTTTTGGCTGGAGTTGAGCTATCTAAACCAGTGATGATGATAGATTGTAATTGCTGATGATGTTGTTCCTGCTTGGGAGACAGGGGCAATGGGTATGTTGTTGTTGTTGCTGGTGATGGTGGTGGTTTGGTTTCTGGTAAAACTATTTTTGTTGTAGAGTGTTGTTGTTGCCTTCCTTGGTCTTCTTCAAGCCACTCGTTCTGCTGCCACATTTGCTGCCTTTGCGATTGCCCATGAACTTGTTCACGGCTATCTTTTAGATGGTGTCCCTTGTCCCGTTCATCATCATTCTCATCGGCAGCATCATCCTTGCGGACTTCTTTACTATCATCTTGATTACAATTTCTTGTTGCATGCACATGCTGTTGTTGTTTTGTTGTAGGTTTTGTTTTTGTAAATAACAATTTGTTGTTTGGAGTTATGGGGTTTTGTTGTATACGTTGTGGTTGTTGTAGTAATTGTTGTTGGTGGTGTTGTTGTGTGTATTTAACATACATTCATACATATAAATAAATAATAACAATATAATGTTTGGCTAGGTTAACATGTTTGGGGTGCTATGGCTGAGAGAATGAGAAGGGAGGGTCGTTATGAGGTATTGGAGTGTACCAAGGACCATAGGCGTGAATTTTTTAAAGAATATTTGTTCAAGGACCATAGGCGTGGATTTTTTAAAGAATATGTTTTCAAGGAAAATAGGCGTGGATTTTTTAATGAATATTTTTTCAAGGACCATTGGCGTGGATTTTTTGAAGAATATTTTTTCAAGGATTTCTTTAAAGAATATTTTTTTCAAGGGATTTTTTACAGAATATTTTTTTCAAGGGACTTTTTAAAGAATATTTTTTTCAAGGGACTTTTTAAAGAATATTTTTTTCAAGGGATTTTTTAAAGAAAATTTTTTTCCAAGGACTCAATCAAGGCGTGGATTTTTTAAAGAATATTTTTTCAAGGATTTTTTAAAGAATATTTTTTCCAAGGACTCAAACAAGGCGTGGATTTTTTAAAGAATATCTTTTTCAAGGATTTTTTAAAGAATATTTTTTCCAAGGACTCAAACAAGGCGTGGATTTTTTAAAGAATATTTTTTCAAGGATTTTTTAAAGAATATTTTTTCCAAGGACTCAAACAAGGCGTGGATTTTTTAAAGAATATTTTTTCAAGGATTTTTTAAAGAATATTTTTTCCAAGCACTCAAACAAGGCGTGGATTTTTTAAAGAATATTTTTTCAAGGATTTTTTAAAGAATATTTTTTCCAAGGACTCAAACAAGGCGTGGATTTTTTAAAGAATATTTTTTCAAGGATTTTTTAAAGAATATTTTTTCCAAGGACTCAAACAAGGCGTGGATTTTTTAAAGAATATTTTTTCCAAGGACTCAAACAAGGCGTGGATTTTTTAAAGAATATTTTTTCCAAGGACTCAAACAAGGCGTGGATTTTTTAAAGAATATTTTTTTTCAAGGATTTTTTAAAGAATATTTTTTCCAAGGACTCAAACAAGGCGTGGATTTTTTAAAGAATATTTTTTTCAAGGATTTTTTAAAGAATATTTTTTCCAAGGACTCAAACAAGGCGTGGATTTTTCAAGAATATATTTTTCAAGGATTTTTTAAAGAATATTTTTTCCAAGGACTCAAACAAGGCGTGGATGTTTTAAAGAATATTTTTTTCAAGGATTTTTTAAAGAATATTTTTTCCAAGGACTCAAACAAGGCGTGGATGTTTTAAAGAATATTTTTTTCAAGGATTTTTTAAAGAATATTTTTTTCAAGGATTTTTTAAAGAATATTTTTTTCAAGGATTTTTTAAAGAATATTTTTTCCAAGGACTCAAACAAGGCGTGGATTTTTTAAAGAATATTTTTTTCAAGGGTTTTTTAAAGAACAATTTTTCAAGGATTTTTTAAAGAATATTTTTTCCAAGGACTCAAACAAGGCGTGGATTTTTTAAGAATATTTTTTTTCAAGGATTTTTTCAAGAATATTTTTTCTAAGGACTCAAGCAAGGCGTGGATTTTTTAAAGAATATTTTTTTTATGGATTTTTTAAAGAATATTTTTTCCAAGGACTCAAACAAGGCGTGGATTTTTTAAAGAATATTTTTTTAAGGTTTTTTTAAAGAATATTTTTTCCAAAGACTCAAACAAGGCGTGGGTTTTTTAAATAAATTTATTTTTAAAGAATATTTTTTTCAAGGATTTTTTAAAGAATATTTTTTCCAAGGACTCAAACAAGGCGTGGGTTTTTTAAATACATTTATTTTTTAAAGAATATTTATTCAAAGACTCAAACAAGGCGTGAATTTTTGTTAAATAATATTTTTTAGGTCATCAATATGTGTGGATTTTTTAAAGAATATTTTTTAATGTCATCAATATGTGTGGATTTTTTAAAGAATATATTTTCAAGGACAATGACTAAATTTATTACAAAATTTATTTTCATGGACTAGAATAGGCGTAGATTGATTAAAAATATTTTTTCAAGGACTAGTATAGAAAAAATCATTTAATAACCAAAAAATTATATATCGGTTAAAAACATCCCTTTCTTTGGTACACTCCAATACATTTTTATATAATGAAAATTTTATATAACAATTTTAAATATAAATATGTATAATTTTATATTTCTGCAATTTAATTGTAGGCCGAACAAACACATGTCAAAGCATGCAATAAGTTAGAAAAACTTGTTTTTGATTAGTTACAAATTGGGTTAATTTTTTCTAAATATTATTGTTTGTGTTTTTATTTTTGCTTTTTAACTTTTTTTAAAGAATGACAAATTAAATGTTTACCAACCTCACTATCTTGACACACAGCTCCATTATCATAATCTCCCTCATCATCACCATCTTTGGCTGTTGATAGACCTTGAACATATTGCATATCTTTGGTTGGATCATCGGATGCCAAATGGGCGCGGAATTGTTTGTTTCTAAAAAAATAAATACAATTAAAAGTCAAATCTAAAAACAGAACCGCACATTAGACGCCATTGTCTTTATGATCACTAAAATAAATTTTAAAACTATCAATATTTGTAACTCAATATTTAAGAACATAAAGTGAGCATATACTTAATTTTTTTGTAATAATTGGCTTCTTTGGAATACCTCTCGTTGGGCGCCAATATCTTTCAAAAAGCTTATAATGTATGCATTTCACATGTACGCGTTTGCAGCAAACATTTGCATATATGAATATATTTAGACGACTAAAAAGTAGATATTTATATGTTCCATTCTTTATAGACGATACGTTGGGCGCCATTTGATGACTTAATGTAACATTTAAAATTATCCACATTTGTAACTCAATTTTTAAGATATTTGAGGGGATATAGATTTCATTACATTAATTTCTTGCGATTTCGAAAAATTTACAAACCCCACGTTGGGCGCCAATATGCATATATTTTAGCTATTTACACAAAAAAGAAAAAACTTTGGGAAACTATAATTTCATAGTTGAAGTATTTACACGAAAAATACTTTAATGGCGTCCATTAAGGAGAGTTGACGATGGGCGCCAGTAATTTTTCTAATGTAGTTCTTAACTAATTTGAATGGGTGCAGAATTAAATAATAATCGTTTTTTACGATTTTTGGAAGGAAATATACATACATAGACTTCATTTCACTTATTTCTATATTATTTTAAATTTTTGGGCGCCAATATCTTTATATTGGCATATATTTTAGGTATTAACGCATCAAACCCGCGATTTGTTCCAATTTCATATCTGCCTATATTTAAGGAATATACTCAATTATTTGTATTCTTAATCGAGACTTGGCGTTGGGCGCCATTATCGAAAGTAATACATTTTTAAGCGATTTAAGTGGGAGCAGAATTGGTAATTTTTTCTTCATGAGTTTTGCAGAAAATATATGTTAATTGTCATTACCCCACACAATGTGTATAGCTCTTGTGGCACAATTTGTTTTTTTTATGTACTGAATATTAAATATGAGGGTTGGCCTGCTCATCCCAAAGCAATAATTTAATACCAGAGCAGAAGAAGAATTGGGTACATATCTGTCCGCATTACATTTCTATGCGTTCCTCACATCCATCTACATACATCTCCTTAATGATATGTAAGCACGATTCACTAAGATTTCCGAATAAATATTACATTGTGGCAATTGTAGAATTGGAGCAAACCCCTGAAATAAGGTGTGTTGCAATTCCCAAACCGAAAAAAATAAATATCATATTGGGCTCCATGTAATCATCATCACATCCCGCAACAAAAAATGGGTCATTGGCTGGAATACTCATACGTACTTGCATCATCATTGCTTGATTATAGTCTAAACACGATATCACAACAGAGCCCTTATGTCTTACCTTCGTCTTCAAATTCAGAACTTATGTAAAATCAACAACAACAACTGATGATTACCTTAATTCCAATTGTTGCATTTGTTGGTAATGTTTCAGCTTTTGATTGGCAGCACGTAATTTCTCTTCCAATGCAGCATTTTCAACACATTTGATGGAATACTTTTCGGAGAATGATAGAATTTCCTGACGCAATTCCTCCAGTTCTTCCCTGTAATTATGCACATACATGCAAAGAAAGACATGAAAATAAAAAAAGAGAATAATAAAATCGGTATAAGAATAGCAGGTAAGTAAGTAAGGGAAAAATTATTTAATGTATTAGTTATAAATCATTTTTTTGTGTTTGTCGTTGTTGTTATTGTAAATATTACACATGATAAAAGAAAAAAAGAAACAAATAGTGGTGGAAGGATTCTTGACGTTTCTTATATGGGACATTTCATGTTAAAGAGGGAATTGAAAAGCTAAAGATTACAAATTCAAAATATTAAAATATATATGTTAACTTAAGCGTCGAAGACGGAGTGCGGGTCATTGAATTTGTTATCAACGAAAATATAGAAAAACACATAAACTCTCGATGGTTTGGGGTTCGAATCCGAGCGGAGTGGGAAAGATTCTTTTAAAGTGATTTTTGAATATTTGTGGAAAGTAGCTCACATTCCTCTTTAGATGAAATGTACCCAAAGCCCCGACATTTATATAACGATCGTTTGGATAATATATGATAGCAATATCAGGAGATAGCGCCACCTAGAGCAAAATGGAAACACTAAATAAGCAAGGAACCCAACCAATGCACAAAATCTAAGCAACGTTAGGTGACAGGTCGCTTAACATTTTAATAATCATCTTCTGCAACAACATCACCACAAAATAGGAATGGCGGGAGATAGTGCCATCATAAAGGATCAATGGAAACACTAAATAAGCAAGGACTCCAATCATTGTTTCTATGCAACGATAGATGGCATCCAATCACCTAGAAAGGGCTACATCAGAACAATCAATGAAAAGGTAAGAAAATATATTCTATTCTAATACCGGATCACTCGCGTACATTGGTCCCACGAACTATTATTTTTAAGAATACAAGCGAAGAATTAACAATCGTTCAAAGCGGCACCACCCCCATGAAAATGTTAACACTAAATAAGTTGGGTCTCCATAGCCACCCACGTCGTCCCCGAAGCCTGGACTATAGGCAGGGTGGTCCCGCTACTGAAGCCGGGCAAGGATGCCAGCAAAGATGAATCGTACAGGCCGATTCCACTTTTGTCGCCAGTTGCGAAGACCCTTGAGGCTTTACTCCTCCCCAGCATTGGAGGAAGCTATCCAGTTGCGGATCATCAACATGGATTCCGTAAGCAACATAGTACAACAACAGCGTTGCACGCCATTTCCACGCATATATATAGAGGACTTAACCAGAATCGGCCGTGCGATAGAACAGTGTTCGTAGCGCTTGACCTATCAAAGCCTTTGATACTGTCAACCATGCCACGCTGTTTGAGGACATAGAGAACACTTCCCTTCGGCTGAGTTTGAAACGTTGGATAATCAACTATATGTGTGGACGCCAGTCGTACGTGGAGTTCCGGAAAAAGAAGTCCAAACCCCGTAGAGTTAAACAGGGAGTTTCCCAGGGTGGAGTGATTTCACCGGAACTGTTTAACCTGTACCTTTCCGGTATTCGACGCCCTCCGGACGGCATTGAAATCGTTACGTATGCAGATGATTGTACGATTATGGCGTCGGGTCCCATTGTTGAAGACATATGTGTGAGGTTGAACGCCGATCTCATCGACTTAGCAGCATTCTTCAAAGCGAGGAATATGAAAATATCCGCCTCGAAGTCGTCAGCCACACTATTCACCACATGGACTGCGGAGGTGAGAATGCCGTTGAACGTGCAGGTCGAGGGGCATACAATTCCGACCACCAACTACCCCAAAATACTCGGGGTCACATTCGACAGCATGTTCCAATCGTCCGCGCAAACCACAGCTATCTGCGATAAGCTGAAAAGTAGGAACAAAGTCCTCAAGTCGCTTGCCGGCAGCACTTGGGGCGCAGATAAGGAAACCTTGTTGACCTCTTACAAAGCAATAGGTCGGTCTGTGGCTAGCTATGCGGTTCCAGTGTGGTCTGCGAATTCCAGTGAAGATGAATGCCGCCCTGAGGACAGCGACAGGGTGCCTCCTCATGACACCAGTGGACCATCTTCATGAGGAGACGAAGATCCTTCCCGTACGTTAGCATAGCAATATGCTTTCGTTGCAGTACCTGCTTGGGTGTTTCAGGGACGATCATCCCAACCATCATATGGTGGATAGGACTCCCCCACCCAGGCGTGTCAGGAAGGATCTGCATGATCTAAAGAGAGAGAGGTCCAACGATACAAAAGGGAGCCTCTAGATCAAGTTGCCTATCGAGCAGGTCTGAATGGCATTCACACAGATGCAGTAGCCGCAGCGCTGAACGGTTACAAAGTGAATGCCGTCCTCGGAGCTCACCCCCCACCCATAGCAGCTGAAGAACGTAAGCTGCCCAGACAAACCAGAGAAGTTTTGGCTCATTTACGTTCTGGATGGTGCAGTCGGCTCAATTCGTGTTGGGCACGGATTGATGACCAGGTGCAGCATGTCTGCCCAGCATGTGGCACAGGCCCTCATACCACACTGACTTGTTCAATTGCCCAGCCAAACCTACTCACCTCACTCCGGTGAGGTTACAGCCTGTGGTTACAACCTGTGGAGGTAGCTGCATTTCTAAATCTGGAGGCAGAACTGGAGGAAACTTAACAGGAAACCTACAATTCATATAAACTGCTACAACAACAACCAATGTACACAATTTAATGAGTTGTTTCTGAGCAACCACAGGTGATAGTCAATCCCTTAGGACGGACATGAGATAGCGCCACCTAGAGATAAATTGCAACACTAAATAAACAAGGACACCAATCATTGCAACATTCTAGGATGTGTTGTTTCTATACAACGATAGATGGCATCCAATCACCTAGAAAAGGCTACATCGGACCAATCAACGATTGATTCATCGTGCACATTGGACCCACAAGCGTGGACATTGGACCCACAATTTTGTAAGAATACAAGAAAAGAATAATTTTTTTAAGTGGCACCACTGCGAGGAAAGTGTCAAATATGTAAGGAACCCAACCATAGCACAAACTTTAAAGAGTTGTTTCGAAGTAAGGGCAGGTGATAGTGTATCCCTTGGGGCGGGCAGGATATAGCGCTACAATCTATCACGAAAAGGTAAGAAAAATATTGTATTCTAATACTTGATTCTATTTGTACCTTGGTTCCGCGAGTTTGATTTGTATATCAGAATATAAGCACAGAATGAAAAATATTTTCTAACTGGCACCACCTAGAGGAAAATGACAACAATAAATAAGCAAGGAACCCAACCAAAGCACCAAATTTAAGGAGTTGTTTCTAAGCAATAACAGGTGGCAGTCTATCACAACGAAAAGGCAAGAAAATAAATTGTACATTGGTCCCACGAGCTAGAGTTTTATATAAGAATACAACCGAAGAACGAAACATTTTTTCGAAGTAGAACATGACAATACTAAATAAGTATGAGACCTAAGAAATGATCAAAGTGTTGTTTCTAAGCAATGACAGGTGACAGTCCATAACATAGGACAGGTTACCTCACATTAAAGGGTAACACAACACATAAATGACAGGAAAAATTTTAACAAGGACTCCAACCAACCACTGCATAAAATTCAATAAAGTGTTGTTTCTATGTGACGATAGATGGCTGTCCCTTACCTGCAGCAGGTTACAGCAGATCAATCAACGAATAGGTCAACAAATACATTATCGCCTTATTCCTGATTCCTGCTAAACATGGGACCTTCGAGCTAGATTTGTATCTATATGGGTAGTAATACAAGTGCAGTGGATAGTGTGTAAGCTTACAGAGAATTCAAAATAGCACCACACAGAGGAATATGGTAACACTGAATAAGCATGGAACCCAACCACTGAAGACAATTCAAAGAGATGTTGCTTTTAAATGAAGATAGATGGTAGTCCATACCTAGGTTTTAATATAATCTACAACACACTAATTATCTACTTAACGGAAATAAAAACTATGATTGATGAAACTAACACAAGGACTAACACCTATGGTGCCAACAGAAAATACGACGTCACTGATTCGTGTCAGTGTATAAGATAAAAATTCCCACCAATCAATAAACAAAGGAACAAACATTGTCTTCTGATTAATAGTGACTCCCAACCAATAGGCATTGTTTTCTGATTAATGATACCTGCTAAACATTGGTCCTCCGAGCGGAATCTTTATCACCTTGAGAAGTGATACAAAAGAGAAGAGAAGATGAGACAATACGGAATAGGATTCTTCTAAACAAAGATTTGTCTTTCGAGTGAGGTCAGTGTCAAAATTTCAAAGATTCTTTCCTATTACTCTTCCGGAGACCAGAATCCATGTCCGAACTTAAAATTGTCTTTAATAAATAAGCAAAGAAAAAATATTGGCTTATAATTCATGATTCCTGGTAAATATTCGTCTTTCGAGTGGCACCTTAATCCATTTGAGAAGTAATGCAAACAACTCGAAAAAGTACGGTGTCTGATGTTTCCTGACAAATATATATTTTTATCCGCCCATAAAGCATTGCGGGGCATGTTCCCACTATTTCGTAATCGGATTCGGATTCATGCCCTATTCTGGTTATACTATGAACATTTTTTTCTAAAGGTGAGACCAATCCATTTTAATTTCCTACGTTTAAGGGAACCCCCCCCCATTCTCGATTTTAATTTTTCAAGATTTTCAATGGTAAAGGAATACAAATGCTTGTTAAGGTTTGTAACTTTATACAATTGAAGATTTCAAAGAGAAGAAAAATAATTTACAAAAAATTTTTGTTATTGTTTTGTTGTTGTTTTTTGTAATTAAAGAAAAGTCCTTATTTTTCATGGCGGGCATGATAACTCCTCACTGGAACATCGGAATCCGAAAATTCCAATGGTGTTAGAAAGAGTACATGTCTGGCTCTCGTATGAACTAGGATTATTGACTTCGCTCTAAAATTAAGAAAATGGTGGACCTCTGAAAAAATATTTTTGGAAAATCGCCGATTTTTTACCAAAAACCAAGTTAAAAAATAAGAAAGATCTTCACCGATTGGTTTTATCCTAGTTCATACGAGAGCTATACACTCCCAGAGAATCGTTGCAAAATTTGGAACCGATTGGATTATTAGTTTTTGAGTTATCGTGCCCGCCATTCGCAAAAAAAATTTTAGAGAAAAACGCGTTTAAAGTTTGAGAAGCCCTTCAGCCGTCACTTGATGCTGACACAATAAATCAGCTATATCTTCAAGAGTTCTTGAGATTTTCACTTGAAATTTTGTAGAGACATTCGTTAATCAGTGTAGATTCGAATTATATCAACAAAAATTTTGAGAATGGGGGGTCTCCTTAATGTGCTTTTGTATGGGTTCCGGGTTCCATGTTAAGTTTCACAGCCCTATGTTTATTATGGTGTTGAGCCAAAATATCTTGCATATTATCCTGAGGTTATATGAATGCAAATCTCATGTGGAATGTTGCGAGCCCGTCTCTACAGGTATTTTAATTTTGACCGCATGTTGTGAGCATAGTGAGATACCATCCGCATAATCTAAGTCTTTTGAGTTGTCGTCAGACACTATTGGGCACATACTATTCAATAAACAGTGAACTGGTGTCGATGCGACTAAGTAACCTAGATAGATGGGCGAGAGTTTAAACATTCCTCAATCTGATTTTTAAGCTTTTGAATCCATATTCCTCCTATGTGAGTGGCAATAGAATGTCACCATAGGCCTTGATCTGACAACAAGTTGACATGAGACATATTTTCGTAAAAACCCATTTAAAAATATTCTATACGACATCATTTCTATAAAATCGGTGTATCGTCTTTAACATTTCCGTGATCTGGGAAATTTCACTTATATCTCACTAGACTTTACTCCAGTCGTTCCTTTTTACACTCGGTGACCTAGTTCATTTTGGTTCCATTGTTAATTAAAATCTTCGGGTTCATTGGAAACCTATCTCAAGTAAATGAATGAACCATTGAATTGAAATGACGATTTCGCTTAACAAAAGGAACTGAATGACCTAGTTCAGTTTCAGGAACGAGATTACCAAACTCAGTATCTGACAATTAATTGTTTCAAATATTCCTCTCTCCACCTCAAGCTAAGCTGGTGGGCTTAGGTCTGAACATTCCTAATCCGATCAGTGACTATGGGTTCACAGATTCAGGTGGTGCTAAAAAGGGACTCCGATATTGAACACAGAATTTAAAGACGCTTCTAGCATAGTCAAAAGCAGTCGCTAATTCTTTAAATGCGAATTTAAGATTTCGAGCTTCAAGCTTTCAATTCCAGATACCCATAATCATCCCATGTGAGAGGCACTGGCAGAAATAAATTGCCAATTGTGAAATAAGTTAAGAAATCTAAATCTGGTATTAATAATCTAAATCTGGTATTAATAAATGCCACAATAGTTCTGATCTGATGAAGAAACTGAGACAACACATTGCTGTAAAAAAATTCAATGGAGTCAATCACGACGAGTCTATAAATTCGACACTGTTACCTAATGGATTGCATCTGTAACGAAATCGTAGACACAGCGAGGAATCTTGGTCGACACTTTCTCGTAAGAATCTTCAGAATTTCACACGAAGCTCGAACAAAATCAGATCTATTATCCGAACAAATTGAATGAGGACAAGAAGATGAACAATAAATCTATGCAGATTGGATCCAACATTTAGTTGCTATATCCATCATCTTATTGCTGCAACCCTGATAATCTTCAAGTAAACTTCCGACTCTTCCGAGAAATTATTCGCAGTTGTTCCTATTTTCTACGATTTTTTTCCTATTTCTCATGAAATCGTTCCTAGTTTCCTTGAATCTATTCATATTATACATAAATTTGTTCTTAGTATCCATGAACCCTTCCTATTTCGCATGTATTTGTTCCTATTTTCTAAGAATTTGATCCTATTATTCAGGAACTCGTATTTTCTAGAAATTTGTTCCTATTTTTCATAAAAAATTCCTAGGAATTTGTTCCAACTTCTCATGAATATCTTCCTATTTTCCATGAACTTGTTCATACTTTTCAGGAATTCATTGCTACTTCTCATGAAATTGTTCCTATTTTCCATGAATTTATTCATATAATATATCCATCCTTAAATTTCCCATACATACATTAGGTATAGCATTTCTTTATCGTTGCGAAACGTATTGCGGGGTAGAACACCAGACGCCAAGGAATTACGGAAAAAAGAACTTAAGCTATGTATGTTCATATTGATGTTGACGTTGTTGTTGATTTAACAGACTATGATGGTATGCAAGTACTGAACTGTGTGTGCGGTAATGTATGATATGGTTAGTAGTAGCGAGAGTAGAGTGGATATGATAAACTAAGGTTAGGTAAGAGAAGTAAGTACATGGAGGAGAAAAAAAAACACATAATAATAAAATGCTACATACTCCTTCGCCTTGGTAGAATCCAAAGTACGTTCGCCTTTTTGTTGGAACTGCTTAAGGAATTCCTGTTTAAAGCGTGCAACTTCACGTTGTACCTCACTTTGGTGTGCTTTACGCATTGCATCGAGAGCAGCTAATGTGGCCTAGAGGTGAAAATAAAAGAAACAGAAAAAATGGTTATAAGACGACATAACATCTAGGCATAGAAGAAGAAGAATGAAAAAATAAAATCAAGGTTTCTAGCTGCTGCTGCTGCTGGTGCCTAGGTTTATGTCCGTCCACACTACAAAATAATTCTTTCGTTCGAAAATCTTTCAAGCGGCAACTATCCCAGCAACAAGGCAAACGCCAAACGAGAGATGAAAATAAGGAGTTGCCAAATGAAAACAACAGTGTCTGAGTAGATGATTTTCAGCCTCATAATTATATATGACATGGTTGTTATACTTATGCCTCATATGTGTGGCATTGGTAGGTAGGTATGTATGCACGGTAGACTAGGCACAACAAACCGTACCGATGGTACTACTCCATGATGATCACAAATTATAACTTCGTTTCTACACCCCTTGCAATCTCCATATCTCAATGAATGGAGGCAATATTCCTTCTTTTAGCTCGTTTGTTAGCGGGTGGCGGGTTGACAGGCAAACCCTGGGCACCAGCATCAGACTCTGCATAAATGTAATCTTACCTGTGTTTCTTCGGCCAAGGCTGTTTCCTTTTCGATTAGCAAACGTTCAATTTCTTGTTTATGCTTTTCCTCCAAATCATTAATAGTACGTCGATGTGACGATTCCATGGCTGACAAACCCTTTTCACAGAGCGTCTGAAAACAGAACAGAAGGAGAAGAAGAAGAAGAAAAAAAAACAGAAATGAGTAAAAAAGGAAAAAAAAAATCATCCAATGAATATGAATTATAAATAATGAGTGTATCAAATTCAAGGAATGTGTTAAATGTCATGTTTCTGGAAAATAATTCACAAATTATGGAATACATAAAAATCATGTTCAGAATTGATGATCAGGGTAAATATTTTTTTATGTTCAAGGTGACAAAAGCACGAGTAAGCTGAGCAAGGAACTTCCAAATTATGTACCAATAATTTCTAAGGTGAGACAATCTGTTATTGAGGAAGGTCTGCCATATAGAGTTGGGCTGTTGTGGAAGAAATTAGTTTCTAAAAGTTATTCAGCAGGAGGAACGATCGGAACTAGATTTGGTTATTTTATACAACTAGTTCATTCAAAGAAGCTATTCCGTTGAAGGAACAAACGGTACTAGCTCCAGTTCTTGTGTCCATCTAGTTCCAGTCGCTCCGTAACAATCTAGTTCAAAGGGGTAATTCAATAAATGAAAATAAACAATCGGTACTAGTTCCCCTCCTCTTTGTCCTTTTGTTCCAGTCGTTCATTTTTACTCTCGTTCACCTTGTTCATTTTTATCCAATTGTTCGTCTAGATCTATGGAACTAGATGAATGAAATATTTCTCTCTGCGAAGCAAGCTGAACCGCTTCAGAAACTAGGTTGTCTACTGCCTACGTCATGAGGAGCAGATCAACGATCGGTACTAGTTACGGTTCTATTCTCATATAGTTCCAGTTCTATTCTCTTTTAGTTATTAATTTTTGCTCTCGTCCGTTTCGTTTTCATTAATTCGTTCATAAAGATATTCCTGTTCAGTGGCCGAGTTATCTAAAGAGTTCTAATGAACGATTGAACTAAAAGAAACTATGGAACTGAAATAATGAATGACCTAGTTCATTTTGCGGAGTCATCCAAAAAGTTCGACTCGCTTCGGCAACGAGATTGCTTTCTTCATCAGCTTTGTTTCTATTTCCTTCCATGAGGAGACAACTTCTTCTACCATTTTCTGGAGGATTTCGAACCTCGATTTCGATGGAAATTGAATGAGAATTTTTGAGATGCCGCTGACTAGCAATTTTATTTTGTGTAGCTCTCTATTTTCCTCATTTCGAATGTACTTTTCGTTTCTCCAGTGATTCCTGACTATTTTTTATTAAGGCGACCACTCTTTATTTTCGTATACTGTTATTGTAAAGGTTCACAGGCTTTAATTAGGATTTCGTTCCGACATCTGTCTTCTAGGTTTGTTGTCCACTGTCAATAATTTCCCGAGCAGCTTTCTTCGGCGGTTTAGCAATAGACTCAATAGACCCAATCCACGCTCAAACTTCATCACTTCAGTTTTATAAGTTTTCTACTTTGAGTCTCAGTTAGCTGTTTCTTCTTGTCGTTTGGCCTGGTCTCCCGAAGACAAAATCTCTGAGAATATAAAGAGGCAATGGAGGTAAGAATTTAAGGGTTTCTCCAGGTCCATTCATTTCCTGTGGTTCAAACAGGTCAACTAATACTCTACCATTTTGTATTCCTATTCACTCATTCGGCTGTTCTTCGGAGACCCAATTCACGCTCGATGAAGGTTTTATAAGTTTTCTACTTTGAGTCTCAGTTAGCTGTTTTTTTTTCTGAGAATATTAAGAGCCAATGAAGGTAAGAATTTCAAGGGTTTCTCTAGGTTCATTAATTTGCTGTGGTTCAAACAGATCAACTAATTCCCTACCATTTTGTATTCCTATTCACTCATTCGGCATACCAAGACGTTGATGTCGATATTGATTTCCCTTTCCGACTCGGACTTTAAGTCCCGGCCTGCACCGTAATTATTGAATGTACCTTATACTTTCACGTGGTTCTTGAAACAATTCTGTTGGATGACGACGGACCGCACTATTACGGATAACAACGATTAACGCCGGTACCAGGTTAAAGGGTCAGCGGGGAATAAAACTATAATGACTATAAAATTTGATCTACAAATTTTCGCCAAACTGTATTAGCCAGCTACTGTTCCTGAAAATGGGAGTTCTTCTGTTGGGCGCCATATTTTTTCTGATCCCTGGCAAATATTAATTTTCAAGCTGAATCTGTAGCCATTTCCAGAGTGATATGTGGTATATTATCACAGCTGCCAGCGCTATATTTATTCCTGGTGATCGAATACCCGAAATGAGATTTAATTCCTGAGCAGAGGCAGTTGGATTAGCAAATGAGTGTAAAGAACTTCATCGTTTAATTAATAATGAGTTCCGTCATTCGTTTTTGGAACATCTGAACATTTGAACCGGCAATGGTAACATTGGAAATGACTTATGTCGGTAAAGCCCGTACCCGATAACCTATAAAGTAATCCCTACGTGTGGGTTTGGGTATCGGTTAATCTTATATTATCAAAATCTGCCCATCACACATTTGGCATTCCAAAATTGTAATTAATTCTCATTGTGTCTTACTCTTACTTTTCAGCAATTGTATGAGTGTGTGAATCCTAGTTATTCTATATATTTGAAGCCTAAAATTAAAGTGTGTAATAAAAACACAAAACTTACCCTCAACTGTTCAATTTCACTCTGATAACGTTGACGGAAACTTTCCTCATCGATGACATTGGAAAAATCTGGACAATGTGTTAGCATTTGATCACGATACGCCTGCTGCAGACATTCCATTTGCTTGCCATGTTCCATTTCCAATAATTCCACACGCTTCTCCAGACGTTTGTTTCGATCCTGTTCTTTGGTCAATTCCGACTGTAAATAGTCGCGTTCCTGCAACAGCATTACATACTCATCGTCTTGGCGGGCACATTTCATTGTCAGTGCATCGCTCTCCTCCTGATATGAACGCACTTTTTCCTCTTCCGCTTCGAGGCGTTTCAATAATTCACGCTGTTCACCTTGGGTGGCATGCAAGGCATCCTCTTTGGTATGCAACAGCTGTGTTACCGACTGCAGCTCGCGTTCACGCTCCTCCATTAGCTCTTCGCTTTTATTCAAATCTTGGTTAATGGCATTCTTTTCAGCTTCCAGGCAACGTATGGCGGAACGTTGATGTTCGACTTGTTGCATTAGGGCTGATAAATCTTTGGCGTGTGACTGTTGTAGACGAAGAATTTCGCTTTCGTGTTGCTCCTTGAGACTGTGCAATTTTTCGCGCACCTGCAGGCAATGCTGACACGAATCATTTAATTTGCGATGAACTTCTTGCAGCAGTTGATCGGCTCGTTTGCGTAGCTCACAACATTTGTGACAAACATCTTGCAGGGATTCGATGGAGATTTCGGTACGTGGTATGTGTTCATTGGACGAGGTGGCTTCACACTGCAGGGCAATGAGGGAATCTTCGAGTTGGCTGAGGAAGGTTGAAATGTCACAGAGGACTTGACGATCGCTAAGGAAATCAACGGCATGTTGTTTGTACATGAATTCAAAATCGGCTTCGAGTAGAATGTCATCGGGATTGTTGATTTGCAAATCGGATGAGAGTTCTTCAAAGAGATTTTCGTATTTTTGTAAGGCGGTAATGCCGAGCTTTTTGATTTCCTTCTCATCGTTGAGTTTGGAGGAAGAGGATGCGGAGGAGGATTGGGATTGTGTGGCATATTCACCGCGCAACACATCAATGCGTGCATCAATTAGGGCCTTGTGGGCAACAATATCTGCAAATTCGGAGAGCAGTTGACGTCCCTCGCTGGCCTTGTGTTCATGCTGTAAATGCATACGCCATTGACCGCGTTTCATTTGCTGCATTGTCTCCTCATAGCATTGGGTCAATTGGGTTACCGCCAGTTCCATCTCCTTGCGCAGAACATCATGTACAGCATCGGCAAATTTCTCAAAGGAGAGACGTTCCTCTGAAGTTAGGGTATAACCGAAAGAGGGGGTTAGTGAAGTTTCCAAGCGTTCGGCATTACGCATCATAATGTGGGCAATTTCCGATTGTACCAATTCCGCATTGACTGTTTCCTGCGCTTGACGCCAGGCCTCTTGGACGGCTCCCTGTACCAAATCATTGGTGGAAATGTAGCTGAGGGTCTCTGCCGCCAGACTAGTGGCCAAATTTTCCATGGCATTATTTTTATATCTCTTGGCGATGACATTGATTTCACTTTGCTGCCGCATCAGGTCATCGAGCATATTTTGATCTACCGGTTCCATGGATAATTTGACATTTTGTGGTGTTGCCGAGCCATGGGTTTTTTGATAACTAGAGAGGAGTAAACGGCGTGCAAGGACACCCGCCAAGATGTCCAAACTTCCGCTGCTCTTTACCGTACATTTGCCTTGCAGCTTAGCCTTGAGTAGTGACATAAGGTGGGATGTTTCGGCAACTTCTGCCCTCGTTTGACGTTCACTAAACAACTCAGGGTTCTCAGCACGTTCCACCGAATCTCTGAGCTTGCCAAAGCAGACACTTTCAAAGGCAATTCTCTCCGCCAGTAATTCCAAATCTTTACGCTTCGTCAGTTCATTGCGTTCGCGAAGCATGCGACGCTGTTTTAGGAGTTCGGCCAATTTGGAACGCAACTGGGATTCCAATTGGGTTAAAGCTTTCTTAACGGGACTAGAATCGGGTAACATATAGACGGAAGGCATCGGCTGGGTCACATCTGTTTGGGATCCTTGCAAAACACATGTCTCTGTGGATTCTCGTATTAGTTTTACAACCTCCTGCAGGCATCTCTCGACAAAACGATATGAATCCTTACGATCGGTAATTGGTGAAACAGAACGACGATTTCGTGAGGAACGTAAATTCTGCAACTGACTTAGACCCTGTTCGAGACGATCTTTGCTGGAGACCAAGACATTTTCCAAACAACGCAGACGTTCCAGTAAATGTTCGGAGAGACGTAGGTTGCCAGGCGATGCCGCCGTTACCGCAGGGGAGGATCGTGAGGGCGGGGAATCCAATGTGGGTGTATTGGAATTTGGTGTGGGCGTACAGGATGAGCTGCGTGAACTATTGACCCCTTCACAACGCTTCTCCAAATCATTGACTCGCACCAAAAATTGTAAAGAATCCGAGGCTGATGATTCAAGAGAACGGCGTCGTGAGGATTTCTTGCTTGTCAAGCGAACAGAGGGAGCCGGTTCTATTATGGGCTGCTTCACCTCCAAATTATGACTTTTTTCTAATTCATCCATTTTCGTCTCCAAATCGTTTAGCTTAATTTCCAATTCTTTGCTCACGGTCAGTTGTTCCTTACCCTTCAGCGATAGGGACCTTCTACGTTCGGACTTGGCTAATTTTTGTTTCAGCGTTCGCACCTGCCTCTCTGAGGAACTGTACTTTAAGGTTAGATCCTGTATGCGATCTGCCATCATTTGTAGCTGTGATTGGTCTTCAATCTCCTTGCGCTCTAAATCTTGTTTCAACGAGGCATAGGAGATCTCCAGCGAGTCATATTGATTTTGTGACTCCTTTAGCTCCCGCTTCATGGCCCGAATTTCATTGACGGCTTTTTCGAAACGTCCTTTCAGTTCGTTATATTCCTCGGCCAGGGAGTCTCTTTCCAAGCCATAGGGGTCGATGTCATTGATGTGGGTCAGATCACTAAGCGAATCCATGCGTTTCATTTTACTGCGTTGCAGATTGATGAAACTAGCCGGACTACAACTCTCCATTTCCCTCAGTCGCTTGTAGAGATTTTCATTTTCCTCAATGCCACGGGCCAGGCGATCTTCCAGATCCTTGATTTTCCTTTGACTTTCATCCAATTCATCGGTGAGCCTTTCAATGATTTCCGAAGCATTTCGTTTGGCATCTTCCAGCTGGCTGGTTAGACATTCTCGAACCTCTTCCATTTCTTGTATGCGATGATTGAGTTCCTGTTCCGTACGTTCCAGAGTGTTGAGTAACTCGGACATGCGAGCCTCCCGTTCTTTGGCTTCATCGCGTAACAGATCCCGTTCCTTTTCCACCACGCTAAGGCGGAATTGCAGCTCTTTGTCGACATTTAAATTGATTTCTTCGTGAACGGTGTGGATGACGGGTAAGTCGTCAGAACCCACACTGTCAACAGTACTACGCCGCGAGGAAGGTGGGGAGGAGCGACTTCTCTTGTGCATTCTCGGACAAGGGGTTGTGGTACGTGAACGCATACGATCTTTGGCTCTCATCATGTTCAGGGTACTGGGTGGTGAGGGGGAGAGTGGTGAGCCCCAATCGCCGATGCTATCACGACGACCACCCTCCGAAGCGGTACGATATTCCTCATCGGATGAAAAATGCAAAGCAGTCTTTGGTGTCAGGGGAGTTTGTGGACTAATTTGGGTGGTAGATGACTTGGACGAACCGCTACTGACATTGGTGATAATCACCTTGGGACTAGTTTCGTTGGTTTGGAGTTTCTTCAGACGGCTACTCGAGTCGCCTGGGTAGTTTTGCATTATCCTCTGGGCCTTGATGAAATCCTTTTCAATTTCACTTTTCATATCATCGCTGGTATTGTCTTTGATAATAAGTTCCGTGGTTGTTGTTGTGGCCATGGGAGAGGAGGATGAGGCGGTGGATTTTTCATTAGTCTGGGTACCCACTAACAAATTGGAGGATGTATGCTTCATGGCCATGCCACCACCACCACCACTGGAGCTGCTTACATTCGAGTTGATGTTGTTGTTGCTGTTATTATTGCTGGGCAGCCCAGCAGCATTTCTCAGAATCGCTATCCAGCTATTGCGAGAATTCGGCGATAGACTAGCCAATATTAGGCGCCGCTTATCCCATGTTGTTAGCTGGAAAGCATTATTACGTTGGGCATTAACTTCGGCCACATTTGTTAGACTATTAACATCCAGTACACCATCTAAGACACCACGTTCCTCGGAAACCGGATCACGATAATAGAACAAAGCAGCACCACTTAAGGTGAACCAATGCTTGGTCCAGTCACCGGTACGATTATCTTGTTTCATTAGCCAACCTTTTTTGGCGTTCAGTGATTCCTGCAATACGGATGAGGGTGTGCTGTTGGGTGTTGTGTTCGCTGCTGACGTTGACGTCGTAACCCCCGAAGAAGATCCATGGACTGAGGACGGTGGCACTGGATTCACACGCAATTCTACTGTTTTCGACAAATAGTTGGATGAAAGATCATCTAAATTACAGCCACCATCGGGATCACCTCGTTCCAAGGCCTGTTTCTGTTGTTTGCGGCTTTGGTATGAATGTTGTTGGTGCTGCTGCTGCTGCAGATGATGTTGATGATAGCGTAGACTAGATTTGTTGTTGGCCGTCGTCGTTGTTGTTGCTGCTGTCGTTGCAGCTCCGGCTGTTGCCAATACTGTGGGTATTTTCTTAACAATTGCCGATACAATGGCGGGTGTAGAATTGGCAGCCAATGGTAAGGATTTTGGTCTCAAATGATTTGCTGAATCACCCGAACCACCTCCACAACTGGAGGTGGACGATTTGTTGTTGTTGCTGCTGATTGTTGTTGGCCTATAGAAATCGGGTTCATCTCGTGAATTTTTATCATCTAGTTTATTGTTATTATTATTGTTGTTGTTGTTGCTTTGATGCAAATGCGAATTGAGGACATTATTGACGGCCGTTGTGGTCCAGCGATTCTTTTGCTGTTGACTTAGATTGGTTATGGTATTGGCCAAATCTTTAATGGTTTTCTCATCACGTCTTATATCTTCGATAAGGAGGCAGGGTGGTGAAACTGAAAGAAAAAAAAATGGAAAATTAGAAAAATGGAAAAGGTGTGGATTTAAAAAAAAACATTTTTCCACATCTACAATAGGCGCGGATTTTTAAGAAATATTCGATTTTGTTCGATGTTCTACTACAGTAGAGATTTTTCCGAGCTGGAATCTTTTAAAACTATTTTTTTAATATTTATTTTTCAGAATATTTCCATTTTTTTCAAGAAATTTTTACATCAATATTGGCGGTTCGGATTTTTTATATTTTATTTAAAAATTAAAAAAAAATCTGCTAAAACAAAAATATTTTAACCTTGAAAATGTGTTGCCTTCAACATATTTACTTAATTAGTCGTTAAAGGTATTCAAGATTGGCATACCACTCAACACGAGAGTGAAGTGAAGGACAAATACCTGTGTACGCCATCATAATAATGCAATGACAGGGTGAGGCAAAAGTTGCAACAGTTTTTTTTTTTCTGAGGAATTGAATAAAGTGAAATTGGAACAAGGGAAACGATTTTTTATCGGGACATTTATATGAGGGTTATACCATGATGGATTGCTGGCTGGAGAAAACGATGTCAGAAATTGGATAAGGACCTTCAACATATCAAAATATGAAAATATCGAAAATTGAGGGTAGCCATAAATAGGGTCCATGATAAAACAATGAGAAACGGAAATACCAAATTAGAGCCAATTCGTTTTAAAAACGTGTCCAAGCTCCCCAAAATACCGAATTTTAAGAGATACTGTTCAATGGGGGCTACCCCAAAAAGTGGACGAATATCGATCATTTTTGGTGGGAAGATTTCATATCCAACGTGAACGCAAAATGCCGAAATTTTAGCCAATTTGATTGAAGAACGTGACCAAGCTCCCCAAAATACTCAATATCGAGGTGGGAAACTGCTATATGAGGGCTATACCAAAAACTGGATCGATATTGATAATTTTTGGTAGGAAGATTTGACATCTAATTAGAATCTAAAATACCAAATTACAGCCAATTTGAAAGATGTGTCCAAGCTCCCCAAAATACCTAAATTTGAGGGATACCGTTCAATGGGGGCTTCTCCAAAAAGTGGACCAATGTTAAACATTTTTGGTAAGGAAATTTAATTCTCAATGAGAATCGAAAATACCAAATTATAGCCAATTCGGTTGAAAAACGTATCCAAGCTCCCCAAAATACCGACACTTGGAATATACCGTTCTATTGGGGCTACCCCAAAAAGTGGACCAATGTCGATACTTTTGGTAGAAAGATTTCATACCCAAGGAGAACCCAAAATACCAACTTAGAGATAATTTGGTTGAAAAACGTGTCCAAGCTCCCAAAAATACGAAATTTTAGAGATACCGTTCAATAGGGGGCTACCCTAAAAAGTGGACCAATATCGATAATTTTTGGTGGAAAGAATTCATATCCATGGAGAACCCAAAATACCAACTTAGAGGCAATTTGTTTAAAAAACGTGTTCAAGCTCCCCAAAATACCGAAAATTGGGGGGTACTGTTATATGGGGGCTATATCAAAACGCTGACCGATATTAATAATTTTTGGTAAGACAATTTGACATCTAAAGAGAACCAAAAATACTAAATTACAACCAATTTGGTTGAAAAACGTCATCAATTTCCTAAAATATTGAAATTCGGGAGGTATAGTTATATGGGGCCTACTATAAAAAGTGACCCAATCTTGATCATTTTTGGTAGGGAGATTTGATACTCAACAAGAACCCGAAATACCAACTTAGAGCCAATTCGGTTGAAAAACGTATCCAAGCACCCCAAAATACCGAATATTGAAAGAACTGTTATATGGGGGCTATAATAAAACGTGGACCGATATTAATAGTTTTTGGTAGGTCATCTTTGACATCTAATGAGAACCCAAAATACTAAATTACAACCAATTTGGTTGAAAAACGTCACCAATTTCCTAAAATATCGAAATTTGGGAGGTACAGTTATATGGGGCCTATCCTAAAAAGTGACCCAATCTTGATAATTTTTGGTAGGGAGATTTGATAGTCAACGAGAACCCGAAATACAAAATTCTAGCCAATTCGGTTGAAAAACATGTCCAAGCTCCCCAAAATACCGAATATTGAGAGTACTGTTATATGGGGGCTATAATAAAACGTGGACCGATATAAATCATTTTTGGTAGGACAATTTGACATCTAAAGAGAACCCAAAATACTAAATTACAAACAATTGGGTTGAAAAACGTCATCAATTTCCTAAAATATCGAGATTCGGGAGGTACAGTTATATGTGGCCTACCCTAAAAAGTTACCCAATCTTGATAATTTTTGGTACGGTGCTTTTCTACTCAATGATAATTCTAAATATAAAATTAAAGCCAATTTGATTGAAAAACGTGCTCAAGCTCCCTAAAAATACCAAATATTAGAGGGATCCCCTATATGGAGACTATACCAAAAAGAGGACCGATATTGATAATTTTTGATAATAAAATTGTCTACCCAATGAGAATTCGTAATATCCATTTATAGCCACTTCGGTTGAAAAAGTGCACAAACTATCGAATATTGGGGTATGGAGACTATCCTGACTTCTAGGCCAATTTTTGGTACGATTATTTACCACCCAATAAAAATCCAAAATATAAAAAAACCAACTCAGTCGAATTTTTGGGTATTGAAAATCTATGTATCATACCTTTTCCACCCTGTATTTTTATAAGTGTTATTTTTTATTCTTACATCCCGAACCTGCACACCACAGCACCACCATCATCATACATAATCAGTCCATATAATAGTCATAAACATATGTTTGGGAAAAAAGGAATCCAGTTCCCAAATTAAACCAATGTTGTTATTGGCGATTTACAAGTGGTTCAGAATCAAAAGAAAAAAAGAACATCCCATGCCATTATCATGGTTAACATTGTTGGTAGGCAGGCTGGTCGGCTGACTGGTCAATATTCATGGCAAAATTAAGGCCAAGCAGTGGACAGAAAACAAAAGAACAGAACAGAGCCACAATCAAGATAAACATAGCGTTCACGCTCCTGTTATGAGAGTTCGACTGACGCTGACGAGATTGCACTGATGATGATGGTGGTGCTGGCTGGCTGGTTGATGATGATGAGGATGCCGATGACGACGACGATGGTGGTGGTGATGATGGTGATCACCTCGGTGAGTTGAAGTTTAATGTTTAACCTTGTCTTGTGTGAATGGAATGTCTAGTTTGGGGGGACTCCTTACAACAACAACAAGAACATGCATACGTTGTTTTTGTTGTTCCATAGCTGGCTGATTTTGAAATTCTCTTCGCATATTTAAGATATATTTTGTGTGTGTGTGTGCGTTGGGTTTTTTGTTTATGCCAGACATAATTTAAGACAATGTTTTTGTTGTTTTTTTTTTAATACGAAATCTTAGGTCTAGACTTACTTAGGCCTATGATCATTTAGTCTGAATTTTATTTATTGTTATGATACACTTGTGATTATATTTCCATTGACGTTTGATAGAAATCTGCTATGGAAGAGCTTGGCTGGGCAGGGATCACCGAGGGACACTAAAGCACCACATTCAAGAGAAGTATTTATTAGGCAAGAATTTTGCTCGCCAAGGACATAACGAATAAGTCGATTAGTAGGATACAAAAATAAAGCATACATTTAGGATATAAGAAATCGGTATTTTAACGTGAAGGTCCAAGAATATTTTATAAGGACCCACACAAGTTTGGATTTTTTAAAGAATATATTTTCAAGGCCTGTTTTTAAAGAATATTTTTTCAAGGCTATATAAGGCCTATATAAGGCGTGCCTCGTTTAGAGAATATTTTTATATATAAGGCGTGGATTTTTTAAAGAATATTTTTTCAAGGCCTATATAAGGAGTGTATTTTTTACAGAATATTTTTTAAGGCCTATATAAGGCGTGGATTTTTTAAAGAATATTTTTCAATGCCTACATAAGGCGTGGATTTTTTAAAGAATATTTTTCAATGCCTACATAAGGCGTGGATTTTTTAACGAATATTTTTTTAACGCCTAGATAAGTCGTAGATTTTTTAGAGAATATTTTTTCAACGCCTATATAAGTTGTGGATTTCTTAGAGAATATATTTTCAAGGCCTATATAAGGCGTGGATTTTTTAGAGAACATTTTTTCAAGGCCTATATAAGGAGTGGATTTCTAAAGAATATTTGTTCAAGGCCTATATAAGGCGTGGATTTTTTAAAGAATATTTTTTCAAGGCCTATATAAGGAGTGGATTTTTTAGAGAATATTTTTTCAAGGCCTATATAAGGCGTGGATTTTTTACAGAATATTTTTTCAAGACCTATATAAGGAGTGTATTTGTTACAGAATATATTTTCAAGGCTTATATAAGGAATGGATAAAGAATATATTTTTAAGGACCAACACAACCAACACATTTTGTAAAGAATATTTTTTATTGATTTATGCATGTCCGTCTGTACATGTTAAATTGTAAACAAAGTACAGGTCGCATTTATGATCCGAATTGGAGCTCATTTATTTGGCCCAAGGACGAACCCTATTGAAATTGGGAAAAATCGGTTCAGATTTAGATATAGCTCCCATATATATTATCGTCCGATTTAATGTAGATGGTATGCCAAAGTCCCTATATATCTTTCGATTTGCACGAAATTTGGCATAGCGTACTGATTTGAGCCTAGAATGATGTGCGTTAAATTCCTTGAAAATCGGTTCAGATTTAGATATAGCTCCCATATATAGTTTCGCCCGACTTTAGGTAAATGATGAACCAAAGTAGCTGAAAATCATTCGATTTGCACGAATTTTGGCATAGCGTACTGAATTAATTCTAGAATGACGTGTGCTAAGTTTCGTGAAAATCGGTTCAGGTTTGGATATAGCTCCCATATATATTTTCGACCGATTTTATGTAAATGATGCACCAAAGTCCCTATATATCCTTCGATTTGCACGGAATTTTACACAGCGTACTGAACTTAGCCTAGAATAAT